GTCCTTACAGATTTTGTTTGCAAGTTTCCAATCTCCTGAACGCAGCAGCCTAACCAATGTACCTTACTTATAGTGAGGCCTTGAAGGGTTAGTTTCCTTATTCATACTTTAAAGGGTTAGTTCACCTTCATGCACATCTCCTAAAAAATACCCCATGCATTCCAACATGCTGGGCAGATTACAAACCAGTTTCGCTTTACAATAAGGGGAAAAAAAAAAATGCTCCTTTTGCATGCCATACCCTCAGGCCATGTAAGACCTAACTGCAAAAATGCCTTGACCGATATCCCTCCCTATCCCTGTAAACTGCAGGCTGTGCCTGTAGGCCTAAAAGACAGAACAAACAACCCCTGTGTCTCATTAAAACAATGTGCATTGTGCTCTCAGCCTCCTGTGACAGCCCCCTAAGAGCAGCTTTGTCAAATACTGCACATGCACAGTACACTCTTTCCCCTCTGCAGCAGAAGCAGCTAAACTCAGGGGGAAGAGAGCGTACTGCACATGTGCAGTGTTTCAACAAGCTACAGCCATCACTAGTTGTTGTGGTCAGGCCATGCATGACCCTAAGGCCTGGTTGCCACCTGGGCATTTTACAGCGCGTAAGAATGTGCTGCAAAAGCCCTTGCCCAAAGAAGTACAGGAGCTTTTTTGGGGCGTATTTGCCACGCAAATCCATTAGGACACAGCCGGATAGTCCTTGGAAACGCGCATTTGTCATGCGTTTCTTTTACCGCAAATCGCGGTGCAAACGCACATATTCTGTACGCCTAGGTGTGAACCCAGCCTAAGATATGACATGCAAAAGGAGCGTTGTGTTTATTATAGTGGAACAATGATTTGGAATCTGCACAGCATTCTGAAATGCATGGGGTATTTTTTGGAACATGTGCCTAAAGGTGAACTAACCCTTTAAAAGTATGATTATAGAGTTTACCCAAGCAGAGCTGAAAAAGAAAAACACCCAAACTCCTTGGGCACTTAAAACTGAACCATATGGTTAGGGGCAGGGTTATAGTGGGCAGGCCTTCCTTGTTTTTGGTTTACCAGTGTCAGCCTCCTAAAGGGAGCTACATAACCCACATCTCTGAATATTTTAATCCCCGTTTCCCTAAATAGACGATAAAGAAAAAAAAAGTTTGGCCTATTAGGATATTAATAGTGAAACAAGACTACTTTTTGGAACTTGATACAGTGCTTACCTAGAAGATTTTTTTTTTTCTAACATAAATACAGCACTGGCTCTCCAAGATAGTTAAGCATTTGGCAAATCCCCAGAGCGCAAAGCAGACCCAAGCGAGCACATTTTTAAAAGGGCAAGGGTATTTCATTTTTTGCTACAAATTTCAATGCAGCTAGAATGTACATTGCACCGCATGAAAATGTGCAGAAAACGTATTGCAAAAGCATTGTCTGAACAAAGCAAAAGCCTAATAATTGTTAGCAGCAGACTATCTGATCTGAAATAATGTGCCAATCTGATTTTCTCTACTCGGCCATCACCACTCACTTTCTCTTTTCAAAGAGATACTTCACACATGAACAATTTGCCTCCATACTTCCTGCAGGCATTACAATCACTGCCCCATGCAATTCCTTCCAAAATGCAGAGTCTGCCCCTTCAGCGACATGCAGTGAAGAAGCAACTTATTTTTTCTTATTCAGAAGATCACAAAAATAAGAAAAGAGGTTAAGTCTAAAAATGGGAGTGTATGGTTGGGAAGACTAGTAGGAAAGCAAAGAATTGGCAAAACTTCAGGCGTACATCCTACCAAGCTTCAGAACTGCCCCACGGACATATGAAGCTCCCTCTAAAGCCATAATAGAGAAAAAGACGCCCCACAACCAGATATGAATCAGGACCCCCCCGTTGCAGGTAAGAAAAAGCACACCATTTTGAAGCAGAGGTTTTTCGCCCGGGGGAACTCCCCTGAGTCCACTACACCAACAGGTCAAGTTGCCCTGCACACGCTTGTGCAGGTAAACCACAGGCATTTTCTTTCGGACAGTTGGGGCTGTCCAGGAAGCCCCCCTTCCTGGGTACCCCGGGTCCACTGACCCTCTGCTGTACCCCTGTCGGGGGGAAGCCCCTGCTCACCAGCACGAAGGCCTAAGGAAAACAACAAACATTACGATGTCCTGCTCGGCCGGAGGAAACACAAAATAACTGAGGCGTGCTAGGCTTGTGCTCCTTTTTATTCTAAGTGTGGGTGATGTGTTTCCTGTTCCGGTGGGAGGAGCCTATCTCTCTAATGCTGTCCTGGAAGGTGACTAGAGAAATAGTGAATAGGCAGGTTTTAAAATAGAAAGGACTGCCGCTGAGCTGTATCAAGCGCAGCGACAGCTGGAAAAGCAAGGGGGCTGTCAAAGCATAGATATATAGGGTCAGGACTGCAGTCTATGTTGGGACATGAAATAATTACCAGCTCTCAGTTCTGCCTACAGACACAAGTAGTAAGAACACACAATAGTTTGTTTTACAAATTTTATTACAGTATTTATTACCCCTGAGAAAGGCAGCCAACCCCCCCCCAACAAACAGAAAGACAATACATATTAAATCCTTTTGGGTGTCTAGTCACCTCCGTTTCTAATAGCTCAGCTCATACTAGTCTGATCCAGCAGAAAAGGAGCTGACCAAAATCATCCTCAGGACAAAAGCAGGAAAGAAAAAAAAAAACCAAACACCCAATATGGGATAAGAAAATATAGGAAAAGGGAAAAAAGTGGGAATACTGATTGTAAGCCTACAAACGGAATTGTTCTTGCATAGCTGATAAATGTACAACCAGATAGGACTTTTACATTATGAGCCCCACACAGGGTTGGCTATATATGGAGAGAAGCAGAGCTGATTAGTGTTATTTTAAAAGCCTTTGTATTCAATACAGTTATGGTAGCCAATATCAGACCACCACATGTACAACTGCCAGATCCTGCATGTATGAGGCGGATGGACGATAATCAGGAAGACCTTCAGCCACCAGGTCTTGCGCTGCAAATACGAGAAGTAGCACAAAGCCTCCTGAACACCTTCCACACACATACAGGATGTTACTCAGACTCTGCAAAGGATTCTGTGGACTCATCCGTTTAATCAAGCACACATCTGATTTATGCAGTCTGTAATCACAGGTCTGTGAGTGTTCTCCCTTATCCAGGCCATGGTATGTCCAGTTGAATGTTAGTAACATTCAACTGGATATGTTCTATAATGTTGAAAATGTTTTGTCCTCATCCAGTTAGCTTACTCTGTTCTAATGAGTGTCAGAGCATACCCCAGCATTCCTAGCCATACAAGCAACTTAGTCACCTGGATCCAATTAACATAGTTTGTGGTGTTGGACATATTGGAATGTTGACACACTACATGGGTGACCAGATTAAGGTGACCGAGATACCCATATGGCTGCAAATGCTGCTAGTGGGGAGACCTCTTCAACATGAAGAACAAGTTCAATTGAATGAGACTAGCTACTACTTTCACCTCTGCAGTGATCTGAACCAGATGGAGTGATGACCTCAAATCATAGGGTCTGCAGAATTCAGATTGGTCTATAGTTCAACGGATGAGCTGGCAAGGCAATATTTCCAGAGCCATCAGAAAAGTAAAAATCCTCTAACCTGACCCCTTCTGCCAAGTACAGTATGCCTTACACAAACTTGTATGAATGAAATAGTCCAAATACTAATGCTATAACCAAAAAGAAAGGTATCTGGTTTAAGACGCACACCAAACCTTTCTTTTATGCAATGCTGTCATCCAGTCTTACAATAACAGCAGAAGGTTTGTAGCAAGCCCAGACCCCTTGATGGATAATTCTGGGGGAGAGTAGCGAGGTAAACCTACTGTTCCCAGTTGTAAACTAAATAAGTGAAGGGACTAAATAAGACTACTTTGTCCTGGGCTCAGGGAGTCAAGCTGAAGAACACACTTCAGGTTTTTAAGTTACTTTTACTATTATTCACAATGCATGAGCACTTGCCAGCTGCCTCGAGGCAATCCAGCTCCTCCAGTGCTTCAAAATTGATTTAAAAAAAAAAAAAAAAAGCCAAAACATGGTTATCATAGGTAATGTGCAAATTCTGCCACAAAAGTGGTTCAGGAGGTTTAAAATTAAAAGACAAAAACACAAAAATACTTATAATAGCCAACCCCATATTCCACTTCATATGCATTACATAGTAAAAAAAAAATATTTAATAAAATAGCTACAACACATTATTGCACTTGCAACACATTTTAAATATCAGCAAAGCCCTCATGTTCATGTGTTTATAACACTTTCTGGTAAGGAACCAAGCGACACAAAAAAAGCACCAGGATGTACTGACTGTTTCTGAGCAATGCAGTGGTCATCTTAAAGAGGTTTCTCAGATAAGGAAACAAGATCAGTGCTCAGTCAGGTACATAAACGACCCAATAGCTGCAACACAGTTTAAGGCACTTGTGACTTTGGTATGAAATCCTCAGATTCTATAAAGCTTTTCTTTGGTGCTTGGTACATAGTACATTAAAAACAAAATATCACAGGTCTTTTGCTCCTGCAACCAAGTCTCAAGCCCTCTTGTAGAGCTTCATTTCATAGCACACCCCCCTGAGTCTACAGTGCCCAAATCTTGGTGTCAGGGGAACGGTCTGTATTTAACAAGCAGTGCTATGCAAAATTGTCCCTGAAAGCTTTAGCTTCATAAAATCTGACTGAAGCTATGCTTTGGTAACACAGCTCTGCAAACACGGGCTTCAAAGCACATTTACCTAGACCCCCAGGAGAGATAACAGCCTGTGTTAATAGGTTGCAATATTCAGTTACATTAGGAGGAGAAAAGAAAACATTTAAAAGAAAAACAGTGGTTTGGCCAAATGTATAGTATAAAAACATTTTCGCATTGATTTGGCATGTGTGCCCTTCTTACTTATGTGTGCCTTCCAATTAAATAAAGAGATTTTATCATTACGGTTACATTCTTGGGTGTCTGTTCTGATCACCAAGCTTCTTTTCAGTTTTAACCAGATTGTCAGCTCTTGGAGCACAGCAAACCCAGGTACTACAGATAAGAATCTTCTATATTCCTATATCATTTGCATAAAATTGCACAAACATTATGTGCTTGAAGCTCAATAAGTTAACATTTTTCCTTTGAGAAACAATTTAGATTAAAACAGTTTTGATTTAAAAAAAAAAAAAACCAACAAGTTTTCCCCCCCAGAATTTGGAAGCAGGTCCAAAGTTTTTGTCATCAAATGTACAGTCACTGGGTCTTTTTTCTAGAGTCCCAGTCATTTGGAGCAAAGAGAAGGTGAGGCATTACAGCGAGGGAGGCCACCGAGTTTAAATAGTCCTGAACTCTGCTTCTTTACAGGAAAATTTGTAAGTGAACCAAAAAAAGAGCAGGTGAAAGCCAGCACCAAAGTGGTTTAGTTCAGGATAGACCTGCACAATTTTCACCTACATTCTTCCTTTGAACGGTCTGAAGAGAAAAGTAATGATTTTTTATTTCCTTCAAAATAAAGGTCATTTATTGACCTCGCATAGTTCGCCTTCAGTAGAAGCCTCAGTGATTCAGTCATAATGTCCTCAATGTAACAAGGCTCTTCATAACACTCACAGGAAATTTTTTGTTTTAATTACGTGCCTCTTTGTCCCTCTCCCTCCCAGTCATTGTAGTGTCAACTTCAAAAATGAGCTGCAACTGTTGTTTCACCTTCCCTTTTAGAAGATTCTTTGGCAGTGCATGGGATGAGGCTGTACGTTCAGTCTAGGCCTCAGAGGCAGCCTGAGGCTTGAGTTCAGCTTTTTCCATAGCAGTTCCATATGGCAGAGAGCGTTTAAAGAAGCCAAGCTAAAGGAAGGTAAACAAAAAGATATATATGCATTTTATACATGTATCATTTTTACATATTAGTTGTTTTGTGGGCAGTGAAAAACAAAACTAAAGTCACAGTGCTGCCTGACAGACTACAGCTCCCACTACTACTGGCTACTAGGATCAGCTTCTGGATTCTTCAACTAACAATTTCACTTGTCTTCACCTGTCAGATATTACTGAACACAGCATACAGCATTCAAATAGGAGTAGATCAGAAGCAGGCAGCACAGCAAGCACGCATTCTACTGTCAGCTGACTGGATAACTCAGGAATATATGGCACAGTGGGCTGATTTACTAAAGCCACAAACCAATTGAATCTATAAGACGACCAGCCCATTTACATCAATCCGCATAGCTGCCTTTTCCCTTAAATGACAATGCAGACAGTGGACATCATTGAATATAATCCCTTTTCCAAATGACATTGCTATGGTTATTGTTGCAGACAAGGGCTCAGGGGTGTGACAGCAGCAGTGGAGTGCTCAGGGCGTGATCACAGCAGTGATTTTGGAGCAAAGAGGAAACCCCTATCTTAGCTCTTTCCTCTCTAGCTAGAAGCATCATGCAGAGTTTGACATGCTATTAAAGCAGTAGAATTCGGTCATAGATTACAGTATAAAAAGGAGACAATTTGGAAAAGTAGGCATGTGTTTAAGGCATAAAGCAATTTCTAGAGCCCTGAGAGAAGGCATAGCTATCCCAACAACACTCACCTTATAGAGAACATATATGAGTAACGCAAGCAGCAACAGACCAATTAAAATGGCCAGTATTATTATCCACAGTGGAACCCCGTAACTGCTCTCTGGCTTTAGCCAATGAATAGTTGTGTTGACCTAAATAAAGACCAAAAGTTTAATTATAGATTGTTTATATGAACTTAGAAATAAACTTTAAAACTATAGAAATGTTAGACAGAACTAGATAAGAAAGACCATACTTTCTATATGGTGAATAGCCAAACTTTACAGATGATACTGTGTGGAAAGTGTAGTCCCAGCTAGGGGTGCGACTCTATACAGTATTTCAGGTGGTGCTCTCCATGTTCTATAAGCCCTGTGGCATTCACGCTAAACATAAAATCACAAAAATGAAAAAGCGCCACTACTGTAAAACCTTTACTCACGTTGCTGGTGTCAGCATACAGCGTGTCAGCTCGTTTGGAGATGTCGGAGAGCAGTCCAATAGCTGTCGGGGGTGATTGTTTAAACACCGCGGTCTCAGCTGGCCAGGCTGAGCCGCGGCTGTGTGGGTGTGAGGCAATGTCAACTGCCGGACCGTTCGGGGACCAAAGGAGTCAATCCGAGCGTGTCTCGAGTATGTGTTTAAACAATCACCCCCGACAGCTATTGGACTGCTCTCCGACATCTCCAAATGAGCTGACACGCTGTATGCTGACACCAGCAACGTGAGTAAAGGTTTTACAGTAGTGGTGCTTTTTCATTTTTGTGATTTTATGTGTATATTGACAGGGTTCCTCTCCCTATTTCTGATAGAGCTTGCACACTGTACTCCTGTTCATTTATGGTTTGGCCACACACACTTTATAAGCTTAACAGGTCTTTTACCCATTAGTGAGTGCGCTCTAGCCCTTTTGTTGTATTATTTGTTGGCATTCAATCTAAACAGTCTTACTCTAGTGACATCAAGCATACATTTCACCTCTGAAGCAGACTTTCCTGTAGTTCATATAGGTTAGATGATTTTCCAGTTTGTGCAAACTGGGAAGCCATGGTACTTCAACATACCACAATGAACCTGCACGGGCTATGTTAATAAGGTGCAGGTCCATTAAATCCTGCACGGTCATGTGGTGAAAGGCCATTGAAAATGAATGCCCTGTAGCATACTGACCTTCATGCAGTAATGCATGGTAATAGACCAATATGATCCAACTGGGGCAGATTGACTCTAACAACCTATTGGTCATCTTACCTGATGTGTGCCCTGGGGATATGTTGCAGGTTGGATTTTGTATGGAAGCCGTTCAATTCGGTATTTTACTTCGCACTGCAGCGTAAAACCCTGGTTTTCTTTCTGCAAAATTAGAATTACATGATTGAGCAATGTAAAACATCACCACATATCATCAGGAATAAACTGGACTACCTTTATTACCATGAAGTATCCAGTAGCCTTGTGAAAGCCAAAACCAGTACTTCACCTATTCCTCCAATCCAGTTTGCCAATACCCCCCATTATTTTGTGTTGGTGTGTGCTTCCTGAAACTCCTGCTTGATGCTGATGGATTTCTGGGCTGGTAGCATGGGGAGACCAGGCTCCAAGCACAGTGCACTGAATGTTTAATAAAAAAGTTTTAGTTGGAGGAAAAAACCCCAGTAGACCAATTACAGACAGACTAGTCATGGCTTAGAACACAGCCCTAGCGCAGGTAGTCTCAAACTTTGCAAATCAATTCACTCATTTATGCTCTGCACCCAAGTGACTGCAGCGCAATATATATATTTATAACTGTATACAACACACTCTGTATGCACAATATAGATGCCAACCTGCCCCTTTAACTGGTAAGGCTAAAAGACTAATTTCTCAAAGAAATGATTTCAATGATCGTGAAAACGAAGCAATTGAACCAGCATGGAAAAGGTTGACAAGCTGAAACTGAAAATGCAGTGTGAACAAATTTCCTGTATACCTGGGTTCCATTTTGCCACATTCAAAAAGTAAAAAACACATTTGTAAACATTTATGGAAGCAAAGTTAGATGGATCACAAAGAACTGCATCTACTTTAAGCCTGTATTTAGATGGTCATCCACCAGGTGGCGAAAGAGTCGCACATTTCCCAGCATGCCCACAGCCATAACCAGTACATTTCTAAAATTGACCTGTGCAAAACAGCATTGACTGTCTTCCATTAAAGCATGCACCAGAAGATGCCAAAAAGGAACACAAAAAAAAACAAAAAACAAAGAGGCAAAAGTGTTACCTGCATGAAGGTGTCACCCCAGACTCTGAAATGGATTTTAAGAATAGCCCGCTGCTGTTTCTCTAGTGGCAAGACATCACAGCTAAGGTTAAAGCAGTCGTCATGATGATGACATTTCTACAAAGAAAGTAACACAGAATTTTAAAAAGTGTATTAACACCAATGAAAAACAACCAGCAGAAATATAAAACTCCAATAAAAATAATAATAAAATCAATGCCACTAATAAAAACAGCTAACAAAAGCATTGCAATAATATTTGTTCTTCTTTCATAGGCGAACTAAACATTTTTTTCCAAATCCATGTATAGATTGTAAAGCCATGAAACAGGTGTTACAGGGCTTTTTTGGTATTTTAGAGGCAGCTCTGCCTTAAGATGCTCTCCTTCTGTAATGGAAAGTGTGTCAACTAAATAGAGTAGTGTGGACGAGAGGAGTGATTGCTCTTACGCATATAATTATAGCAAATTTAAATGTGGGTTATTGAGCTTTTGTCAACAGGATTATTTTAATTTTTTACAGAACAGGAAAAGGGTTAGACAGGTAAACAGATGGAAAGGGGATCTACAGCCCTCTGGCTGTCTAAAAATGAAAATACAAAAAGGCACATGCAATATTTATTTCACATACACTGAACACTAAATTTACAATTGAACTTAGCATAAACTCTGCGCCATTAAGAAAAGCCATTCTAGGTGGGGAGATTCATAAAAATTATTCACATTAGAATTTCCAAAATTCTGGGATGCAGTAATGACAAACCCTGTCAAGCAAAGTCCACAGCACGCTTGAAGATGGGTTCACTCTACACAGTTGTGCCCTGCCCTTCCTGTAAGCCAAATACCCAGCTTATGCCTCACAACTCTTTCTATTGTTTATTTCTTTAGCTCTGGCCCCATAGGAAATTACCTGGTTTAGAAAGGTTTAACTATATGGATATAGGATGGTCTTGATTTGGGCATTTTGTGTGGTTTGCTTTTTTATTACTTCTGTGATTGGTATTCTATTGCTTAGATCAAATATCTCAGTTTTATGCAATGACAATATTGGCGTCTTGTAGCAAATAGTTTATTGGCTATATATGCCTGTGAACAAAGTTTCAGGGCAAATTCTAGGAGATCTTAAAAGGCATTAGAATAAATAAAAAAAATTAAAAAACCCAACCTTAAAAACTAAAGTCCCCTTGTAAAGAAAATATCTGTCCCACTGCCCGCTCTGCCAATCTTTACTCTTCAGGAGCTACAGCTCCCAAGGAATCTTCAGCATCCAACACTTCCAAGATGTCAGATGCCTTGTCCCCCATTGTTCTGTGGTTGAATCCCCCCAGCCTCTACATTACTACAGGACAGTAGAGGCTGCCAGATCGAACCACAGTGCTCAGTTAGAGACCAAGCATCGGACACATCTGAAAATGTGTGAAGGACACTGAAGATTCTTTGGCCACTTTAGCTCTTCAAGAAAGGGAAGCTCAGAAGAATGACAGCGAGACAGGGAGACCTTAGTCTCCAGTTTCTATTATAGCAAGAGAGTTGCTTTAAGATCACCATCTTATCTTTGTGGGCAGGTTCAGAGAGGGTATCCATCCAGTTTCCAGTAATCTAAAGCGATATTGAATGAACAAGTCTCACCAAGACATGTGATCCACTAGCAGTGACCTTGGCGGTGTCTCTGCGCTCCACATGATGTCCAGGCTTTGCAGAACTTTGTCCAGTTGGATACTGCAAAGCAAACACGTAAACCATGAAGAACATTTAACACACGAAAACGCAACGCAATCTAATACAACCATTTTTACATTTTTCTCACCTGTAGCTGAAGTGGGTTAACAGATGGTTTAGCTGTACAGTTCCCCAGTCCTTCCACAGAGTAGTTCATGACATACATTACAAGCTCTTTGCGATTGTGAATCCTTGGACAGATGAGAGTTAAGGTACCATGGCTGATGGAGCTTGGTCCAAGGTTGGCTAACTATAAGAGAATCAAGAAAAATAAAATCAGATGAAGCTTAGGAGGTGCGAAAACATGCCATAAGTAATTTCCTATGGTGAGCAACGCAAGTCAAATCCTACTCTTACCCCAAACTTACCTCATAAACATGATTGACCTCTGGGCCTGCTTCTTCCACTTGAGTGGGATTTCTATTCGGTTTCCAGTTTGCAAGAGGGAAGATAACACTGTCTGGCTTTGAAACCCTGAAACGAAAGTGCAGTATTTTTAGTTCCTGATGGGTATACTAAAGTGCACCTGCTTTATTTTTCACTTTTAAAAGGTGTTGTGTTTAAAATGTAGCACTACTGCTCCATGGATGACAGGGCTGCCAACCTGCATTTTCAGATACAAGAATATGAGCATCCTCAAAAGGAAGATCTGCAGTGCAGCAACACAAGGCTGTAATTTGCTTGTGAATAGTTATAATTTTAAAAATGAGTGTGGCTAGTCACAAAGCTGTAGGCATTAAATGCCGCTTCAAAACTGAAACTTTAACTGCAAATGAATTGCAGTTGATCAGTGATGCTAGTGATCTCATGCGGTCAGTGAGACTACTACTAGCCTTACTGGTGGTGTAGTAACCAATTCTAAAGCAGTCATTTCTTACACCTACAGAGATAAAAGGAAAACTCCTCACTAGCGCGGCACACATCAAATGACAGCCACAGAGAATGCCCGGAAACCCTTGAGGGGTATTTTCCTGTATAACTCTGGGTAAGAAAACTACTTTTGGAGCAACAGCAGTGTCAGCCCCTTCATAGAAAAGCAGGCAATACACCAATAAGCAAAAGTCTCCTGGCCAATTCTGGCTACTGGTTAGAACCTGACTGTATATTACTGACCTGATGAGTCTAACAAGGTTTAAAAAGGAGAACTATGGGTAAGTGTTTTTCCCCATAGTTCTAAGGGTCACGGGAGGACACAAACTAGCATCCTCCCGTGACCCAAAGCTCAGTATACCGCAAGCTACTGCTCACAGTATACTGAGACCGCCGCAACCGGAACGGATCCCGACATTACTGTCGAGATCCACCTAGCTGCGTGATTGACAGGTGGCTCTGCCTTTTTAGGAGGCAGAGCCAGCTGTACACACGCCCTCCCCCGTCCGTTCCCCCAGGCTGTGCTAGAAGATCGGAGCGGGGGAATCCCTGCAGGGAGCCGTGAGTGACAGTCACGGCTCTCTGCAGGGACATGATCGAGAAGTGAGCGAGCGATGGTATACGTTTGCTCACTTCCCGATTTACTGAGCTGACGTGTGACAGTTTTCTTTGTCACACATCGGCTCGAACTATGAAGTTGAAAATCACTCCTCAGTTCTCCTTTAAACTGTAGCCAATATATTGTTAAGAAACTTCACTTGTTTTTGTTACTTTTCACCTATGCTTGTCAATAAAAAATGTTGAACAATAAAATTATTAGGTCACTCCATAAAGATATAATTTATAACGTTTTAAGTCTTATGCCATCCCCAAATTTCTTTGTTTTGGCTTGGGTACTAAGTGTTAGAACACGTGCCAGCCCACTAGTGTTTTTTTGGATCTCGCTTCTTAGTCCCTGCAAATTTGAGGTAAACTCTCTGCTGTCTATTTGATGGTTGTAAGAGACTATGGGGCAAGAAAAAAAAGCTAGCATTGAGCTGGGCTTTAAATCCATTTTAGTAATAATGATTTTTGGTTTTATCTTTTTAGCGAACATCAGTACCTCAGCTTTACTAGTGCTAGATTTGTGCTTGTTGGGCAATGTTATCACTAGCTAAACCTAAGCAAATACAACACAGGATGTGCTGTTCTGTTCTGTGGATTGAAAGTGGCTGAAGTGCCCTGGGCCAGAGCTTAACCTAATTTGGGCTTTTCACAAAAACACATGTAATTTGAATCTGAATTGCCAGGGGGAAAGGAAACGCATTTTAAACCTTAAGTAGGAATACAAAAGGTGAATTACATGACAAGTGAGTGATGAAGCAGTTAACGTGAGTGTCTAACGCCACACATAGAAAAACAGTTCACAATGGAAGGCAAAGAACCATTGCCATTAAATCCATGAATACAAGTGGTACACCAGTGGCTTGGAAATAAAGTTAAAACGGCCATATATTTGCAGATCTTGTGTTAGTCAAAACAAAGATCAGAGGATTCTCAAAGTACTCAGACTGCCAATTGTGACAGACTTGTCGGGTTAACTTCCTTACAATGAAGAGCAGTTTAGGGCAAGATGTAACACACTGGAATATCATTTTATTTTCTACAGACAGTCCATTCACTACACACGGCTCTATCTAGACATACATTTGGTGAAGTAGAGTTCATACAAGAATTAGACGATGTCTCCCTTGTATGACCATAACTGGTGATCCATACACATGCAGACACAATCCAATTTAGATCACCTTAGTAAATACCTGTATTCCTCCGACTTCCTTTCCTGATACTTATGTAGTTGGGTATCATACAAATAACACAACTGCACATTCATGTGGCCCTCAAACACTTGTTCCAACTCTTTCCCAAAGAATATGGTGATCCACAAGGACACTTTCTAATTGGAAGATTAGACCTCAATGTGGGCAACCGAATCTGTTTAAGATTGGGCTCAGAAGAAGAAGAAGTGATGGGCAGTCCAATCTGCTAGTATATAGACTGCTCATTTACAACACCTATGATCTAAATGTATAAACACAAAGCCTTCAATCATGGTCTGACAGATGTCTGCGAGTCATTCCATGTCTGATAGGAGGCATGATTTAGTGGAGTGACAGCACTCCTTATCTACTACAAAATATTGACACAGCTCCATTCCATGGCTGCAGGCAATGCAAAATTTCTGGTGTAGGCACATTTACAGGAACTGTCATTGTATGAACACCGAACCGTAAACATGAGCAACTACTGAAAAATCCACACTGCAGAAAAGGACATCACTACTAAATCTGACTCTATCCTAACCAATACAAGCTCTGCCAATCAAGTTTAGCCTAATCACCAGGAACAGGAAATTAAAATGCAGTAAACCATAGCACAATCAATTCATCTTCCACTGGTCTAACTTTAAATACATTCTGATTGGTTACCATGTATAAAGCTCCCGACTCCTTTATAAAAGTGTTCTTGGGTACGACAAAATTGCAAGCCAGTTCTACTCACTGAAAGAGACCATCTCTGTTTACATCTGATTAGTGGTGGGTAGACAACTTGAAATATCGGAGATGGTACAGATAATGCCCATTCTTTCATTATATTTGCAAGGTACAGATAAATTCTCTCACCGGCCTCTAATATGTTGCTGGGAATTGATGTTGTGGTTTTAGAACCCCTGATTCTATTGGAAGTAAAGCTAGCCACGGGTTGAACTATAGAAAATCAAATCAATTGATTTCCCCATCCATGCTAAATGGCGTACATAGAGGAATTTCCACTGCCAGCTACTGTATACATTAGGCGGCGCCCACACCAGGACTGCCTGAATACCCGCAATTATTGCATCTCATAGGATACAGTCAGGGTTTGGCTGGAAATTTTCTGCCTGGCTTCCTTTTTAAAATCAACTTTTGTTGAGCCGGGTAGTGCTTGCAGAGTCACCCACAGCTCCAGTTTCAGGTGGTTCAGCAGAAACAGGCTGAAATTCAAGCCTGAAAATCCATACCTCCTTCCATTGTACCCTAGGTAACTAATAGCACAACAGCTTTAATATCATATACAGTATAGAGCAGTAGTGGTTTCACTCCTGCATAGCTTGAAAAAAATAATAATGGTATGAGCTGCAATTTCTTTCAACTACATAGAATATAAACGTAAGCAGAAAATCACAGTTTCCTCAATTGGGTCAGTAGTATTGAACTAAGGTTACCTTTTTATATAAACTTACCCAAAAAACGACACCGATGTATAGGCTTCTATGTTGATTGCCAATTGTACAAGATCACTTTGCGAGTTATTTGCATTTTTGCTGTAAAGTAGAACGAGATACAAACACGTTAGAAACTAAGAGCTTGCCATCCATCCGTTTATTTACAAAGGAAGAACCAGCAACATATCACAACAATGACAACTATTCAAATATATTTATGCTTGGTGCTGCTCCAGGCCTGTCCACCTGACTCGGGTGCTTGTGCCAGCTCGCAACCAGCCACAAGAAACACTGAGTATAAAGAATCAGGGCACTCTTTGGAAGATTGTTGTGTAATTTTTAACTCACTTGGCATGCATCAAAGATCTCAGACAAAGTCTCCAACGTGTTCCCCACATACTTGCTCTTAAAAGGAGAACTATGAGGTGAGTGCTTTTCACCCACCTCATAGTTGTAGCCGACCTGTGACAATAAACCGACCAGAGGTCGGCTCAGTAGATCGGGAGGTGAGTGAACACATAGCGGCGTTCGCTCACTTCTCGATCCTGTCACGGCTCTCTGCCGTGACAGGGGAGGGACTGGATTCCCCGCTCCGCCAGCGCTGACTGGCGGAACGGACGGGGGAGGGTACAGCTGGCTCTGCCTCTAGATAGGCAGAGCCAGCTGTCAGTCACGCAGCTGGGCGGATCCCGGCACAATTGTCGGGATCCGCTTCAGCGTCTCAGTATACCGCGAGCAGCAGCTCACGGTATACTGCGGCGTCTCAGTATACCTCGAGCTACAGCTCACGGTATACTGAGCCTAGGGTGACGGGAGGACGTTAGTTTGTGTCCTCCCGTCACCCTAAGGAGAACTATGGGGAAAAGCCCTAAACCCATAGTTCTCCTTTAATCATACAGCATGTTAATGGAGTAGCATACATATTGAAAAAAAAAGCATTTTAATCTATATAAGCAATATTATGTAGGTTTAAATACCCATTTTTAATATGTAGAGAGATGTTAACTATATATAGTTCTTTAGTTTATGTGTAACTGTAGTACTGTGTGTTGACACCAAAAAGGTAGAGTGTTTTGGAGTGGGTGTTCCTTATAAAATGGCTATGCTGACTACATACAACTCATACTCTATGCTTATGCGTAAGTATGTGTGAAAACATTAGACACTGTCAGATATGCGCTGTATGCAAATTGATGAAGATTACACACCTATCTTCAAAAGAAAAAGGTGTGCCGCAAATCCTTGTGTTCACAATGACAATGTCATTGGGCTGAATAAGCAGCTTAATTACAATTACTCTTGCCCTGTCAAACTATTGTGATCCATTTAAAAAAAAGGTTGCATATACCACTGTATAAACACAATGTGCAGTCGCCTTTTTAGGAACAATGATCATGCGGATAGTTTCCCTAGTGCAGTACATCTTCTACTGAGCTATGCACATTGTCATGATAAACGCCAATGCAAAATACCTGCGAATCTGACTCTCAAAGTGCACCTTCCGACTTGAGTCCCGCAAATACAAGTGGTACAAACATATATATGTGGGTTGCTAAACAATATAAAATGCAAATATTAAAAACGCATTAATACATCCAGGAATTGCAACAAAAACGATTGTTATAGAGCAGCTGCATATTCACCTCTAGGTTTTATTAGGCAATATACTGAATATAGACTGGCTAAAAAAAAAAAAAAAAAGGTAAAATGGATATGCAATGTTTATTTTTTTTTTAAACAAGAACTCTAGCCAAAAGTTTTTCTTTAGTTTTGTGCCCAACAGAGAAGTTTCTTCTTCTTCACATTGCTCATTCAGAAACATGACAGGAAGGTTAGTGAAATCTCACCTTTGACTTTTGTCACTGCAACATCTCCACTGAAATAGGTCACACTACTCCTGTTCTAGCTACAGCTATACAACTCTGGATAAACCCATACTTTGTCTCTTAGAGTGGTTACCAGAAAAATGGTGAGGGATACAGATAGTAATAGAAACTCGACATAGGGTCTTCTAACCCTTCCCAATAGCCTAAAGGAAAATAGGTTTCAGCTGGAGTTCTAGTTCAAGGCATCAAAGTCCTCCCCATTCCTTTTGAAGCCAAACTGTCCACAACAACCAGACACCAGCAGTCTTTTCCTACTGGTGGTTGGCTACTAAAAGCACAAGTCTTTGGTTGTTATAGGAACTTTTGTGCAAACAAAACAGATGGTTATGCGGTTCAATACTGCCCAAAAGGATCTTTTTGTATGTTTTCAGCAGTCACATGACCAGGAGCTTTCTCTTCCATATAGCTGCAGTGTATGAAAGTCAGTGGTTCCTGGAGTGTCACTTTTGGGGACCAGGCCTTCAATTCCAGGCACCAGTCTATCTATACTCTTCAGGCCTGTAAAGCGCAGCACAATTGAGGGAGTGAGATTGTCAGTGATATGGGAACTCGTCGGGCCTGTGAAAATGCTGTGAAATTAAAAAGGGCAAGACTAGCCATGATGTGGAAACTATGGCAATGGCTCTTCCACAGCTGTGACAATGCTGGTGGAAGAGACAGGGTCACTACATATAGCTATACTGGATTCAGACAGCTGTAGCAAGCAGGAAAGGGTGACAACACTGTGGATATTTCAACAGCTGCCCTATAGCACTATCACCAGGTTGCTGGTTTAAAGTGCATTTCCACGTTTGCAGCCAAACTGGAATAAAACCGATTTTAGATTTGTTATATGCAAGCTGTGTGAATAGAAACACAACGATTTAGAGCGGTTTTCTCATACTTGGACTACACTGGCAATATCAATGGGTATGAATAAGGAGACAGTAAGGGCATGGGAAATTGTTCTGTTATAATGTGAAGTTGCACCAGTCACCTAGTGAGAGAGTTTTGATTTTGTACACAGCCCTTATCAGAATCGTTCTGTAGGGAGTGATCGATGGAGAAGATAGCACAATACATAAAAACTTACACTGGTCATAGATTTCATGGGGTTTCCAAGGTCACAAATTACTAAGCGGGTCTCATTCTGAACTTCATAGCGACAGGACAAAGGTGGAAGTTTCTATAGAAAACAAAATTAATTGACAATAAAAAATATTAAAAAAAACAAAAAAACACACTAGTAAAAAAAATAGGTGTGCAGACCATAAAATAGATCCAGATGAGAAAGGCGAGATAAATGAGGTGCGCACTGGTGGTGGTGGCAAGTGAACTGGAGAAGTTGTAAGAGCAGAAGGCGAGGAGGATGTCAGGCGCAGTGGTGAGAGTGGGGTTTTGTGTGCACATGTGGTGAATAAGGAGGAGGAAGTGGCATGAAGACACAGTGGGGTGGAGATTTTGAGCAAGGTGGTGAGAAGGGGAGGCTGGCACAATGGTGATGGGGAAGGGAGGGGGGATGTTAGAGCAGTGGTGAGTGGTGCTGTCAGCTCTGAACTCCAGATGCAGCCTCCTGCCCAGCAGCAGAGGATTGGCAGGAAGGGGGGCTTGGTGGTCTGAGCTGCCAGGCCAGAGTGCAGAAGCGTCAAAATTATTAAACTCTGATTGGCTTGAAAACATATTTGCCAAGATTGCAGGCATACAATATAGCAACTAAGATGGACGTTTCTTAAATCCTATGGAAAGCTCATACTGCTTGCCATTTCGGGGAGCCTCTTCCCAAGTCATAGTCCACACATCACATGGCTGGAAGTGCAGATGAAAATATCAGGGTCCCCTTCACACTATGCCATTACATTGTGGGTCACCACTGCATACAAGATCTAGTATTTTGCATAAAGGCATCCAATTTCATCAAGAATAGATTGCCAATGCATGGCAGCAGGGGGAAAAAAAAAAGGATCTGGAACTTTTCTTAATGCAGTATTCAATGGAAGCCCTTTGCATTGTGTTACACTGCAGTGAGTCCGTTCACACCTTCTGTACTTACGCATTGGGATGCAATTCTGAAGAGCTCGTTCACACCACATCACTTGAGCTGTGTTTGTTTGCACAGATCAATGTGGCTCAATGCCAAGACACATATAAAACAATAGATTTGAGCCGCCCACCTCCTCCATTACCACAGAACCCTTCCAATGCAGAAGCCATTTTCTAGAAGTCCAGCATTAAAATGTATTCTTTATTTTTTATACTTTCAAGGTAAGCATTTTAGTCAAAACACACACCACTATTTATCACTCTTCTCTCCTAAACTACTGAACTTTCTATACCATTATTTTAAAGATACAATTTCTTTATCAAGCTGAATCTAAAACTCCATTTTACTTCCTGTATTCTTCTTTCATAACAAATATAGAATGGCTCTATTTTTGGTTTTCTCAGACTTTTAGATGAAGTAACTCATTAGCAAAAACCAGGCACAGTGCTTCATTTGGGCATATTCAGCTTCTGGCTAGGTCAGATTTTTTGTCTTTTTACCTTTGTAAATGCAGAGATAAGCCCGGTGCCTCTGTTCCTGCCCTAAGGTATGTATATAGAGTATACTCCAAATAATCAGTCTGCATTTTACAGAAAGTGTCATTTGCCTGTCATCATGTTTGGAAACAAATCACCCACCTCCACTGCATGCATGACCAGCTTTAGTTTTAGCACATAGAGAAAGGTTGGCCATCTCAAAATGAACACAAGGCAACCACCTTGTCACCCAGGGTTCATGAACCTAGGCTGAATGTACTGTGCAGAATAAACCGAGACTGAATGGAATAGGCCAATATTAAAGTGTTCAGATTTGCCTTCATACACTTTTAATGTACACATGGATTTTTAATCAAGACAACTGCAGCATATGTGGTCAATGTAAGCATTCTATAGTACATATATTTGTAAGTAGTAGAATGCACATATGACAGTGGAAACACTACTGATCAGTCACAAAGTTTTCTGCACATGGAAGCAACAAATATAATTCATTCCTACAGAAAGGTCATCCGTTATGTGACCCACTGATAAATAGACTCTCCGTAGAAATGAATGGGATTTGCAAAAATTGAAAAAAGGGCCTCAGTCATGAAGGGGTTAAAGGATACCATAACAAAAAGTTAAAAAAAAAGTTACCCTTTAAGACCTATTGCAACAAGCTCTGACTTACTTCATTACGGAAAACACCGCTGTACTCTGCCTCTGCAGGTATGACGACATAGAGCTCGGCCTCATATGCTCCCCCTTCTCCATCATTTATTGCATTAAACATTAAGGTCAGAGAGTTCACATCTCCTAGATACACCGATTTCCGGTCACTGCAATTATATAGCATCATAACATTTCAATAGTTAAAATATAATCACACAGAAAGGAAAAATTCCTGGTGTTTAGAGGAAGTACCAAACCAAGAAAAAGTGACTCATAAGAACACATGATTAAAACCAGCTAAAGAAAACAAAAGCATTACGATGTGCACTTCCGGTTACTGTTTAAAAGGGCCAGTCACCTCACAGCCAGGTCAACAGCCGTCAGAATTTAAGGTTGGCATTGATATCTTTCTGCAGAGGTACTGTTTGCCGAGTTCCTGGCACACAGTCAATGAGTATGCTGAAGGATTAGTGTTGTGGATGACTACAGGGTTTATTTAAAGTAAAAGTACTAATCCTTACTACCCTGCTCCCCTGCCTCGTCCCATAGTAAAGTAGTAAGGATGAGAGCAATGAACGGTTAAAATTAAGGATATGTTTAGGGTTTGAGTATTGGGGGGGGGGGCAGGTCAAGTGTGAAAGCGCAAAGCTGTTCTTTACAAGACAAAGCAATGGGTTCACTTTAATGCTGATTCTTGCTGACGGTTATACTTGCCTTCTATTACTTCCCAACTGCTCAATATGTCCACAGAGAAAAGAACACTACTCTTTTCTTTCAGATATAGGAAACCATGCCACCTTTTCACTGGTAGCAGCATTGGTTCTTCACATTTTACTGCTAGACACCCAACATTGTCACATGGGGCAAGAACTCGGTTGCGACTTGGAGCTTACACGTCCTCTCTTTTTCTGGCAGAAGAGAGAGAGTGGGGAGCGAAACATAGGGCAAGTATGTTCAGCTGGTGGGGAAAGCATTAAAAGGAGAACTATGAGGTGAGTGTCTTTCACTCACCTCATAGTTCTAGCTGACCTGTGACAATGAGACTGTCACAGGTCGGCTCAGTAGATCGGGAGGTAAGCGAACACATACCGGCATTCGCTCACCTCTCGATCCTGTCACGGCTCTCTGCCGTGACAGGGGAGGGGCTGGATTCCCCCCTCCCCGCCAGCGCTGACTGGCGGAACGGACGGGGGAGGGGGCGGGTACAGCTGGCTCTGCCTCTAGATAGGCAGAGCCAGCTGTCAGTCACGCAGCTGGGCGGATCCCGGCCCAATTGTCGGGATCCGCTTCAGCGTCTCAGTATACCGCGATCAGCTGCTGGCGGTATACTGCGGCGTCTCAGTATACCACGAGCTACAGCTCGCGGTATACTGAGGTTAGGGTGACGGGAGGACGCTAGTTTGTGTCCTCCTGTTACCTTAAGGAGAACTATGGGGAAAAGACTTAACCTCATAGTTCTCCTTTAAAGTGAACCTATTGTTCTAAATAGGCAAAGCACAAATTCACTCAGGGCTCAATTTTATGTTAGAGTCAGGGTAGAGTATGGTTAAGGGTTGTGTGTTGTGGGAAAGTTAAGGCATTATTAGTTAAGGGGTTGGCCATTACTAGGGGGACTCGCTCTTTTTTGGATTTTTTATTTACTTTAGGTTTAGTACCAAGGACCAGGAGAGCGAAACATTGTGGAGGGGAAATTACAGCGCTAGAAACTCAGGCTATAAGTTCTTGTCATTGGACTTTTCATGAAATATAGGAAGCCTGACAATGACTCACAAGTAGAATGATCAGTTTTATGTGGACTTAACCTTGAAACGTATCACCTAAGGAAACATTTGCATTATAGTAAAACCTATCCATTCACAAAGCCATGTGATTATTGTGTTAGAAGGAATACATTATGGACTTACAGGGCGATTGGTGATCAGGTGATCAGGAAACCAGGAGATATTGAATTTTTAATGTATCGACAAATGTTCTGGCTGCAGAAGGCTGGCACTAGAACATGTCTCATAGCCCCCTACCAACATTCAAATACTTCCTCCAGCTGCTCAGACTTACCTGGAGACATTAAGCTTCAAGTCTGGAACACAGATGTTATTATCACAATCCAGCTGAATCTGGACCTGGCGGAAACAGAGGAAATATGGAGGTTACAGTGTATTAGGAGCCATGCCAAGTAAACTACACTGACAAAGCTGTGTCTATATCCCACAAATGTGTCACACTGCCCTATAACATTCATATATCTGCATACTGTATATACGTTTTTGAGTATAATGTTCCATGAATACAGGAGATTTGTAAAAGACTGCACTCAATGTTGAGCTTTTTGGTATCATGCTGAATTCCAAAGTACACAGCCAACAATTATAAAACCAAAGCATTTTTGTGTGTGGTTAAAACTGAAGTGATTTATTACAGAATATTAAAATCTTTTTAAAGGGTTGTTGAATCTTTTCATTTAAATTTTGTAGACCATAAAGTCTGACTTGCTACATAGTACTGTGTAACATCTCACAATGAAGGACTTATTGCCGATAACACGGAAGGCTGCAGACACCTCAGTGCAAGGGCCAGCTAGTGTAACAACTATTAGCAACAAAAGTTAGTGCACCTGAAAGCTGGTAATGCCGCAACTCTTGGTAGAAAGAGAAGGATGTGGATGACCCCTCTGGGAGCCAATGGCAATATATGCGAGGTCAAAGATTTTAATGTTTTGTTGACCTGCAGCATCAATGGGTGGAGTAAATTTCAGTAACCTTTAAATGTGAAGTGATAAATGTAGTATAAATACAATACACTACACCAATCTAATCGTTTACCTGTTTTTACCTTTCCTCAAATGT